TAGACTAAAAGACTAATAAAAAATTTAAGTGAGGGGACTGGGGATATATCTCAGTGTTCAAGTGTTTGTCTAACACATAAGAGACCCTGATTACATTGCTTGCACTTAAAAAGAATAATTTTTTTAAAAAGCCTGGTGAGATGTTTTAGTGAGTAAATGTGCTTTCTTACTGGGTAAATAGCTTGACAACTGAGTTTGATCCCTGGGACCCACATGGTGGAACGAGGGGACCCACTCCTGCAGGTCACCCTTGGATCTCCATATACATTCACTATGGTCACCCTTGGATCTCCATATACGTTCACTGTGGTCACCCTTCGACCTCCATATACATTCACTGTGGTCACCCTTGGACTTCCATATATATTCACTGTTGTTACCCTTGGACCTCCATATACATTCACTGTGGTCACCCTTGGACTTCCATATATATTCACTGTTGTTACCCTTGGACCTCCATATACATTCACTGTGGCCACCCTTGGACTTCCATATATTTATTATTATGTTTATGAGTGTATTGCCTGCATGTATGTGAGTGCACCCATGTCATGCAATGCCGTGGAGGACAGAAGAGGGCTTCCGATTCCACTGGGCCTGGAGTTAAGGAAGGTTTGTAGCACCAAGTGGGTTCTGGGAATCGAACCCAGTCCTCTGCAAGAGCAGTCAGTGTTCTTAACCACTGAGCCATCTCTCAGCCCTTATAGGCTTTTTCTTAAAAAATGGTAATTCCTTTTTGATTTGGCCTTTGTTCACTTCTCCAACCGTGTATCTAGCCTGCGGGAATCCTGTGATTTACCTCATAATCCTCATAGACTCACTTCTTTTCCTGAGCAAGAATGTATGCTTTTGTGTGCATATTGTCTTCCACTTAGAGTTTTGTCTTGTGTGGATAGAGCTGGTGGTGGTGGCATTTGAAACTAGCTGTGCGTAGTTATCCCCTGTCACATAGGGAGCCTCTATCTACTGTAGTTTGGTAGTTTGAGCTTTAGTTGAAGCTTGGTAAAGCTTCAATTTTTCTGAACCAGTTTCCTGATCTATAAATTATGAATAATATGGGGCTGAAGAGATGGCTCAGTGGTTAAGAACCCTGTCTGCTCTTGCAGAGGACCTCAGTTCCCTTTTCAGCACCCATGCCATGGTTAACAACTGTCTGTAATTCTAGTTCCAGGGGATCAAACTCCTTCTTCTGGCCTCTGTGGAAACTGCATATGAAATAAAAAAAAAAAAAAATAATAAATTTAAGAATTAGACTCCATATACATTCACTGTGGTCACCCTTGGACTTCCATATATATTCACTGTTGTTACCCTTGGACCTCCATATACATTCACTGTGGTCACCCTTGGATCTCCATATACGTTCACTGTGGTCACCCTTCGACCTCCATATACATTCACTGTGGTCACCCTTGGACTTCCATATATATTCACTGTTGTTACCCTTGGACCTCCATATATATTCACTGTGGTCACCCTTGGACCTCCATATACATTCACTGTGGTCACCCTTGGACTTCCATATATATTCACTGTTGTTACCCTTGGACCTCCATATATATTCACTGTGGTCACCCTTGGACCTCCATATACATTCACTGTGGTCACCCTTGGACTTCCATATATATTCACTGTTGTTACCCTTGGACCTCCATATATATTCACTGTGGTCACCCTTGGACCTCCATATACATTCACTGTGGTCACCCTTGGACTTCCATAAATATTCACTGTGGCAAGAATAGAAGTGCATACCAAATAAAGTAATACAAAAGTTTAAGAAATGCATACAAAATGCCAAGTGTACAGTGAGTCTTCAATAAATGGTGATAGAGCTAAATAAACAGATAAAGAATTTAGGTAAATAGATAAAGCAGGACTTCAGTTGTGTGTGATGGTGGCTTAGGAAGTGGCACCAGGTCAAGATGGGAGCTAAAGGCAGGGCACAAAGGATGTCTTCCTGCTCCGGGGGACCGTTTGCCAACTACAAGCTCTGGTTAGAGGTCAAAGGGAACTTTTTGCCAGGTGTGGTGGCATTTAATTCCAGCACTTTGGGAGGCAGAGCAGGGGGATCTTTGTGAGATCAAGGTTATCCTGGTCTACATAGCAAGTTCAAGGCCAGCTGGGGCTACAGGGAGACCCTGTCTCAAAAGAAAGAAAAGAAAGAGTGAGAAACTTCTCTGCAGCTAGCAGGGACTTCTTCACAGTATACAAACACCTTGTGTTTTTCAGAAAATGAAGTGCTTTGCTCCTGTTCTGTTAACCACTCGGCTTCTTCAGGAGGCCTTTCAGATTGTTCCAGAATATGGCTTTGAAAATGAGGACCACAGAGCCTTCAGCTGTCAGTACAGATAAAGTCCTGGCTCCTTACCGTAAACAATCAGCCTCATCTTTCATTGTGTTCTGTGCAGTAGACAGTGCCAGTTTTGATCTGTCTTGCATTTTAGAAATTCACATGGAGACACAGAAAAGTTCAGGTCCTTATTTTTCCTGCCCTACAGCTCTAGATCATGGGAATATGACCAAGGCTCAATGGAGACCCACTGTAGTGAATGGCACAGAGGTCCCAGGACAGGCACAGTGATGGTGTCTTCATGTTATACTGGGCAATTGGGTACACAAGAGACTGTTCTTGTGAGTGATTTGGGTTGAAGTTCTTGCTCCTTACCTTACAGGGCTCAGTTTCAGTGCCCCTGTTTTCTGGCTCATCTTAGATTTGTGAGATTATCCACTATTTTCCTAATAAACTTTTCTTTCTGTGTAAAGAAACTCAAGGTAGATTCTGTTCCTTGCACTTACAAGGAGCCTTAACTGATACCATCTTCCAGCATGAAGTACCCCTTGCACGTTAAACTTCCTACAGGTCTTCCAGGCTGTCCTTGATTGTTTCCCCTCTGGGCTTTCTCATATTCTAATCAACAACCTGAAACACTTTTTTTTTTTATCTTTTTTTTGAGACAGCGTCTCCCTGTAGCCCCAGCTGTCCTGGAACTCACTATGTAGACCAGGCTGGCCTTGAACTCACAGAGATCGTCCTGCCTCTGCCTCCCAAGTGCTGGGATTAAAGGCGAGCACCACCACACCCAGCTGTAAAACACCTTTTATCACATTCTTGGTTTGTTTGATTTTAGGGGTATTGGGGATCAAACACAGGCCTTGAGCATGCTGGACAAGTATTCTACCACTGAACCACTCCCCAGCCCCAATGTTAAATATCCAAAACAATTCTCAACAGAAGTAAACCTTTTTTTTCCTTTGGTGTAGGTCCTTGTCCATGTCAGGTGTCCAGGCTTGCATGGCAAGACCTTTACCCACTTGGCCATCTCACCAGCACCTTGTTTGACTCTTGAAGGTCCTTTAGAATTGAGTTCTGTTGTCTGATCATTCTTTCACACATCTTCCTCTGTCTTGAGGTTGGGTTAACGCCTCACTATTTCCCCAGAATTCTTTCTTAATCTCAGTTTCAGTACTTAGTAGATTGTACTCTATGATCCTTGGGGAGACTAGCTAGTATTAATTGGATATCTTTGTACTGTGTCTGGAAAGTAATGCTTTCTATGTAAATTTTACTTGTTGAAGAATGAAAAACTATTGCATTATACGCTTATATTAAAAATTTGTCTGTTTGATGGGTCTGGAGAAATGGCTCAGTGGTTAAGAGCAGTGATTGTTCTTGCAGAAGACCTGGGTTTGAATCCCAACACCCACATGGCAGCTAACAACTGTCTAACTCCAGTCCCAGGGGATTGCACGACACGGGTGCACTTACTACATGCAGGCAATACATACATACACATAAAATAAAATTTTTAAAAAATTTATGGGGCTGGAGAGATAGCTCAGTGGTTAAGAACACTGATTGTTCTTGCAGAAGACCTGGGTTTGAATCCCAACACCCACATGGCAGCTAACAACTGTCTAACTCCAGTCCCAGGGGATTGCACGACACGGGTGCACTTACTACATGCAGGCAATACATGCGTACACATAAAATAAAAATAATAAATAAAATATTTTTTAAAAAAATTTAAAAAATTTTGTTTGCATGTTTTCTCTACTAAACTGAATAATGTAAGAGCATAGACCAAGTTCTTCATCTTTGTCTTTAATTTTACAGCACAGTAATTGGCTCCTAGTAGATGCTGGTGGAGTGTTGAATTCCCCAATGAATGGCATAGCTGTCTTTTCAGAATTTCAGCTAAGCAATTTTTCCCAAAACAAGGTTTCTTCTTTCGCTAAACATGTAAAAATGGGGTATCTGTGTGGGGCTGCAGTCTCAGCTCCTGCTGTGTACTAATGTCAGAGTCTAGGATGGTAATGTGGTAAGTCAGATAGCTATCTTGTGCTCCAGACAGCTGCTGCTTCAAGGTCAGGCTAAATGCAGTTCTTAACTGAGCCATTGACAGTGGGATGTGGCTGTTGGTTAATTGAAAGCTTGAGTGAGGCCCTTTCCTATCTTATTTATCATATGTATGCATATACAAATGCCTCAGTTTAGACTGTCTCACACGTTTTTTTTTCTCATTTCTTTTTAGGTCCAAGACAACTTTGACAAGATTGAATTCAATAGGATGTGTTGGACCCTGTGTGTCAAAAAAAACCTCACAAAGAATCCACTGCTCATTACAGAAGATGATGCGTTTAAAGTGTGGGTCATTTTCAACTTTTTGTCCGAGGACAAGTATCCATTAATTATCGTGCCAGAAGAGGTAAGGTGTGACTTTAGGGAGTAGGTGGCTGTCTTAGCACTGAGTAGACATGGCTTGTAGGTGTTTGTGTTGTTTCAGCGTAGACACAGAAGCAGACCCTTGATTGTAATGCTTTTGGATCAGAGACAAAACAACTAGAGTCCAGAAAAGCCCAAACTTAGGGATTTGGGGGAGGCAATACCCTTGGAAATTTGTGGAGATGGTGGGACTCTTCTGCTGTGATCACAGGTGAATTCATCCTCATGATTCCAAAGAGTCCTCATTCATTACAAGTGACAACATAACTTTCAGTCTAATTGTGTAAGAACTGGCTGATGCTCTGTGAGAAACACACAGGATCCAGAGTATTGTTGTCGAGGCTGTTTTATGGGTAGAAACTGTTCTTGCTTTAATGTCTAGAATGATGGTTTTTTACTAGACTTCGCAAAGCATATGAAAAAGGACATGTGCTGGTTTTGTTCTGGACTGTTTCTCCTGAGTGCCAAATAAGGGCAGAAGGGAATAGAAATAAAGTTTCTGTGCTGTTTTCTGAGAACCAAGGATGGAGGAGGGGTTTGACTAAACATGGATCTTTCTGAATCAAGTTGACAATTTCTTGTATGAGGCAGTTGCATTCAGGAATCCACGATTATATTCTTAACACATCCTGTGGCTAAACTTTGGGTCCCTGCCATATACAGGTAGCTCTCCTACAGAGCACAAACAACTGTACCCTGTACCCAGATAAGGCCATAACCAGCAGATTAAATTTATATCCTATTGTTCTCTGCCTACCCATGTCAATAGTGCCTGATTGTGGGGAAGTATAAATGTTCCCAGGTAACTGGAGGTAGCACAGTGGTTGTTTTTTAAAACATGGTCTTTGAAATCACACTGATTTTGAAACTCAACTTTACCACTTATTTGCAGTGACAAAGTAATCCCCCATTCTGGGTCTCCCCGTCTGTAAAATGGAGATAGCTGTTTTCTTTATTTTTATTTCATGTGTATGATTTTTTTTTTTTTTTACCTGCATGTATATAAGTGTACCACCTGCATGCAGTGCTCATGGAGGCCAGAAGAGGGCATTAGATCTCCTGGAACTGGAGTTACAGATGGTTGTTAGCTGCCATGTGGGTTCTGAGAACTGAATCTGGGTCCTCAGCAAGTGCTCTTAACTGGGGAGCCATCTCTGCAGCTCCCAGATAGCTGTTTTCTACAGTGCACTATTGCAAGATCTGAAAAAGTTGACATGTATGAAGCATTTAACATAGTGCATAAACCTGTGATAAGTGCTCACCAAATGCATGTTGTTAGTGATTGAATGACAAGGTGATGAGGTGATGAACAGTTTGGGTGCATGATGCATGATGGGTGCATGCATAGATGTGGCATGTTTGGTGGTATAGGTGGAATATTCTTATGGAGCTTTCCTGTAAAGACTGCAAAGTAGGGGCTGGAGAGATGGCTCAGCGGTTAAGAACACTGGTTGTTCTTGCAGAAGACCTGGGTTCGAATCCCAGCACCCAAATGGCAGCTAACAACTGTCCATAACTCCAGTCCCAGGGGATCCTACAGCCTCTTCTGACCTCTGCGGACATTGCACGATACGGGTGTGCTTACCTACATGCAGGCAATATATAAGATACACATAAAATAAAAGTAGTAAAAAAATTTTTTAAAGTAAAAAATAAAGTGGGAAGTAAACATCTAGAGCTTGTGAGAGGCTCTAGACAGGGCTGGAGACAGATGGGGAGACCACAGGGGTGGGTTAGGGCAGGGAGAAAGAGACTGTAGTGGGAGTTGTAAGAGCCAAGGACAGCCTTGGGGCTGTTTCTGTAGTAGGAGGAGGAAGTAGATTTGGTAAAGGAAGCAGAACTGAACAAGCTGTGAGGTAAGAGGAAACCCAGCTGAGTTACAGAGCAATGAGGTACTGGTGACAAGGCTCCTGGATTTAACCATTAGGTAGTTTCTCTGTAGTGGTGGAATTAGCTTCTTAGTGTTAAAAATGGTAACAGCATATGTGTCAATTGTGTATGACTGTAAAAAGGGAAATAAAAAGAACATTCTAGAGAATGGTCTAGCTTGATAGACAGAAGGGACTGGAGTAATGATAGGTAATAAAAGATGAGCAGCATTTAAAACACTCTGCTGCTGTCCAGACCTGTGCACATAAGATTTTCAATATGATTTTCAAAGGTAGTTTGTGGTTGCACTTAGAATTCCAAATTTATTTGTGTTAGCAAAACTGGAGGTGGGGTAAGTCTCTAATCCTTGGCATTATGTTTTTTTCCATCACTAAGATATTCATGTGGACTTGCAAGCGACTTTGTTCTGATTTCAGAATCAGAGATTCATTAGTAAGGAGACTTTCTTCCATTGTTCTTTACTTGGCAAGTGCTTTCCTTCCTTCCTTCCTTCCTTCCTTCCTTCCTTCCTTCCTTCCTTCCTTCCTTCCCTCCCTCCCTCCCTCCCTCCCTCCCTTCCTTCGCCTCAGTTGGTCTGGAACTCACTGTATAGACCAGGGTTGCCTAGATCTCACAAAGATCCACCTGCCTCCCAAGTTCAGGGATTCAGGGTGCGGGCCACCACACTTGGCTAAAATATTTCTTGTTTTTGTTTTGCTTTGTTTTGAGACAGGCTCTCACTATACAGCCCTGGCTGGCCTGGCACTTGCTGTGTAGAACAGGATAGCCTTGAGCTCACAGAGATCCACTTGCCTCTGCCTCCCAAGTGCTGGGATTGAAGGCATACACCACTATGCCTGGCAAATGCTTTCTTGATATAGGGAGCTTGTTATCAGTGAGCCACCACTGTAAAGGGAGCCATCAGCTTCCTGAGGACTCAGAGACAACAGGACCTACTTGGCCTTGATGCGCCCCATGACACTGTCTTTCCTGTAGCCCGGTGCCTAGCACCTAGCTGGGTGCATTTGCATGTTTGTCTTTGCAGGTTGATACTGATGTTCTGTTCTCTCACAAGTTACCATTTGGGAAGAGAGTAGTCTGTCTTTCAATGTCAGAATTGCTGCACAGTGGAGTTTGTCAGTATAGTTTAGACTTACTCTGTGCTTCGATATCCTTAGATGCCTCAGCATCTCTTCTTAGTGGTAGAATTAGCTGGGAAGGTTGAGGCAGGAGGATCTGGAAATTGAGGCCAGCCTAGGTTACATTGAGAGACCTGTTTCAAACAACAACAAAAGTAGAAATAGAGTTAGACATAGATTATTCCTCTGTGGTCAGGAATATTCCTGTGGGGGAAAGAAAGGGTCATTTTGAGCAGATTAATGTGAAATTACTTTGGCTGCTGAACTAGCCTCATGAGGTTTAACCCATGGACTTGGGCTTACTGAGCTTTAGTATGTCACCTGCCCTTTAACAAGTACTGCAAACCCAAGGTCACATTGTATTGTGGAAAATACATCCTATTAAATATTGCTCCCTTCCTAAATAATTTAATAGCATTGAAAAAATATATTTGAACTGTTTGGACTTGCAGATACTAATAAAACATAATGTAAAAACAGATGTAATTTTTTTTTTTTTTTTTTTTTTTGGTCTTTTTGAGACAGGGTCTCCCTGTAGCTTCAGCTGCCTGGAACTCACTCTGTAGACCAGGCTGGCCTCGAACTCACAGAGGATCCACCTGCATCTGCCTCCCGAGTGCTGGGATTAAAGGCGTGCGCCACCACACCTGGCACAGATGTAATTTTTAAGAAGAATTTTTTATTTTCTTATTTTTAAATTTATGTGTATGTGTGTGTGTGTATGGTTTATGCATGTGAGTACAGTACTCAACAGAGACCAGAAGAGGGCATCAGATCCCCTGGAACTAGAGTTATAGGCAGTTGTAAGCTGCCTGGGGTGGGTGGTAGGAACTGAACTTGGGTCTTTGCAGGAATAAATAGAAGCTCTTCACTGCTGAGCCATCTTTCCATCCCAACGGATATTAAAAAAAAAAGTTTGAAATGCAGTGTCTTCGTTATGAGTATACACTGGATTTAACTTGTAATCTCGTCAGTGTTTTCAAAGTCTTAGAAGTACAAAATCACTTTTATTTAAAATTTTTTTTTTTAGACCTGGAACTTGCTATATAGACTGGACTGGCTTCAAACTCACAGAGATCTGCCTCTGAAGTTGCTGGGATTAAATGTGGTGACACTGTACATGGCTAATATTTATATTTCTTGCAGTCCACCTGTCGTAATGACCATTTGCATTTTAAGTCAAGTGGTTTTTTGTTGTTGGGGCTTTTTTTTTGGTCTTGTTTTGTTTTTAAATTTTTTAAAACTTTTATCTGTATTTATTTTATGTTCAGCTTATTCCCGTGCCATGAGTTTTTGTTTCCTCATTTTCTTCTGGGATATCTTTCTTTTGTGCAGCCTCCTCCTCGGGCTTAGGGACAGTTTGTTCCTTTTCAGCAAGAATCATTTTTCTATATGGCAGGGGGAGCTCATGTGTAAGTTCTGTGGTGCATCTTGGGTGATTTGTTCACCAGGATATGCTCAGTGACCAGAGAGTCTACACCCAAACCCTTAAGTTCAGCATTGCTCTCTGCATTTTTAAGTGTGTGCAGCAAAAATTCAGCACTCTTTTTGGCTCACTGACCCTGTATCCAGCCCCACTGTTTGGCCTGGGCACACCTACCAACTCTACCACTACACCGCTGGAATGGCACACACTGCTTCTTTGTAGTGACGTCTTTTAGATACTTGGTGGCTTTGGGGATATGCATACCCTTGATGGCCTGGTGTGTGTTCTTAAAGTGAGCATGAAGATTGCATGATTTGCATGATTTTGTAGGGTTTTCTGGATCAAGAGAGTAGTGAACCAGTTTCACAGGTTACCCCAGACCATTTACTTGTTTTAATTTATTTATTTATTTTTTTTGGTCTTTTTGAAGCAGGGTCTCCCTGTAAGCCCCAGCTGTCCTGGAACTCACTATGTAGACCAGGCTGGCCTTGAACTCACAGAGATCCACCTGCCTCTGCCTCCCAAGTGCTGGGACTACAGGCGTGCGCCACCATGCTCGGCTATGTTTTTAAATTTTTAAAAATTTATTTATTTTAATTTTATGTGTATGAATGTTCACCTGCATGTATGTAGATGTACCATGTATGTGCATTGCCTCCCCTGGAACTGGAGTTAAGCCAGCTATGAGCTGACATGTGGGTGCTAGGAACTGAACCCAGGTCCTCTGCAAGAGCAGTCAGTGTTCTTAAGTCAGTATTCTCTTCAGCCTCTTATTTTGTTTTTAAGACAAGGTCTAACACTAGTCCAGACTGGCCTCAGACTTGTGGCTCTTCCTGCCTCAGTCTCCCAAGTGCTGGGATTATAGGCATGAGCCATCAACACCCAGCCAACTCCAAATAAATGTTTTTTAAGAAACATATGGCACACTTCTTTAATCCCAGCACTTGGGTGGCAGAGGCAGGCAGATTTCTGTGAGATTGAGGCCAGCCTGGTCTACACAATGAGTTCCAGGCCAGCTGGGGCTACAGGGAGACCCTGTCTCAAATAAACAACATCAATCAAACAGGAACGCCCCCCACCCAAAAAAAAGATTTTTCTTTTCTACTTCAGCTAGTACTGTGTAACAGTGGCAGTTGTGTGAATAATGTAAGTGGTAATAATAAATTTGCATTTGATTTAACTTTCCATTACCCAGAATGTCAAGAATGTTAAATAAATATTTAAATTGCGTGGTGAAGCCAAGATGTTTCTACTGTGTGGACATCAAGAAATAGTGAGCCTCCTTTGAGTTGGTTTCACAATTTTTTTCTGATGATATTCTTGGAAATGTGTGCCTGTAAAATTTAGTTTTTACTTAGTATTCCCTTCCCACAGAACGAAGAACAAAACAGAAGTGTTTGTTGCAGATGTACTTGGAAGAACTGCCTTGCTGCTGAGAAAACTCAAACTTGAAGTAATTTTAAAGAGACTTGGGAATAAAACCTGGGTTACCAAACCCTTCAGTGATGACAGAATTTTTGATCAAATAATTCTTAAGTCAAAGGCCATAAAAATCACATTTGGCTTGAAAGTTTATTCTTTGTTATTTTTGGTGAAACTTGCTTGGAAGGAGGAAGTGAGCTGTTTCTTGAAACTGAATGAGGACTTAGAATTGATGCAGGCTACTGCAGGCTAATGGTCATGTGACTTATTTGGTATGATTGAATAGTGGGGAATGAGTCTCTTTGGCTCAGCATAATGAATCCAAAGGTCCTTAAGCTGTTTGGTTATGATTAAGTATACAGTTGTGTTGGAAGTCAACAGAAAACTACACAGTCACTGAGAGAGCTGACTGCAAGTGCAGGGGCTGATGACAGCTCCCAGGGCTTGAGGGGCACCTTTAGGAAGGTTCATGATGAACCTGGGAAGCTGCTTTGGGAGCTGAGTTGCAAATAAAAGCTCACTGGTATGAAGAGGAACCTGAAGCTGGACTGTGGGGGCTTGTTGTCATTCACAGTGTGGTAGGCAAGGCAGAGCTAAGGCTGCTTCCTGACTTGTGTGGATAGTCATGGGCCACCTTGTCACATCCGCTGTAGTCTCTTATCCTGTACATACATGTGGTCATACATGTGTGTCTTCTTTGCTGTACTGCTAAAATGTCTGGTTGTGCCCATGGTCCTGTTATAAGCCAAGTCACTATTAGACAGTCTGGATTCTTTTCAGTGCCCTTAGAATGCTTGAACTTACGTGCGTGTTAATGCCACCGCATGTTACATTGAATAATTATTTATCTCACTTATCTTTTTCTTTTTTGTATGAATGGGATGCAAGATAGGGTCTCATGTAGCCCAGGCTGGTCTCAAATATTTTTAAAATAAATATTTTATTTTATTATTTTTTTGTATGAGTGCCTGCATGTGTATAAGTGCACCTGTGTTGTGCAGTGCCCACAGAGGTCAGAAGAGGGCACCAGATTCCCCTGGAACTGGAATTAAGACTGTTAGCTGCCATATGGGTGCTGAGAACTGAACTGAGGTCCTCTGCAAGAGCAGCCAGTGCTCCTAACTGCTGAGCCATCTCTCCAACCCCTCAAATTTACTCTTGAATCTATTGTCTCCACTTCAAGTGCTGTGATCACAGACCTGTACCTGTATGCCCGGACAGCCCTACTGCTTTTTGTTCTTTTTCTTTTTTTTGTTTCTCTTTAGTCTCTTCTTGATTTTAATCAGTTTCTTCCCCTTTTCTGCCCCCCACCCCCGTTTTTGTTTGTTTGTTTGAGACAGGATCTCCCTGTAGCCCCAACTGGCCAGGAACTCACTGTGTAGACCAGGCTGACCTCCATCTCATAGAGACCCACCTGCCTCTGCCTCTTGAGTGCTGGGATTAAAAATGTGCACCACCATGCCCAGCTTTTAAATTTTTTATTTATTATTTTTATTTTATGCATAAGAGTATATCACCTTCATGTGTGTAAGTGCACACATGCCTGCAGTGCCTGTGGAGGTCAGAAGAGGGCATCGAATCCCCTGAAATTGGAGTTATAGATGGTTGTTAGCTGTCATGTGGGTGCTGGGAACTGAACCCGGGTCCTCTGCAAGAACAGCCAGTGCTCTACACTGAGCCACCCCTCCAGCCCCACCATTATATACAGTATTGCCAGTGTTCTAGTGGATGGAGGCACCAGAAAAGAACTAGTTTACATAGGAAATGTGTAAATTGAGGAATAACTTGTATGTTTGAGATACTTAATTTAGCATATTCATGGTACTTCAGTAATACTAATGTTCAGAGCTGGGTATGGTGACATCAGCACTTGGAGGCAGGAAGATCAAGAGTTTAAGGTTACCTTTGGCTATATAGTGATTTTGAGGCCAGCTTTGGCCACAGGAGACCCTGTCTCAAAACAAAACCAAAGAACTAAACATGCAAATGGGGAAAAAAGAAGAAAAGATTAGTATTTTGATATGTTTAAATATTTACCCAAAAAAGTAATAAGCTCACAGTAATTAGTTTGTGTGTGTTGTGTTTATGGCTTTCATTAGCTATGAATGTAAATATATTTTACAAGGAGAGGTTTTTGATTCATCTGCTAGGCTAATAGAGAAACACTAGCATTTTATATGCACAAGTCTCCCTGGCATAGGCGTTTCTTTTAAAAAAAATGCTTTTTTGGAAGTATAAAGAATTTTTATTTATTTATTTCTTTTGAGATAGGATCTTCCTGTAGCCCCAGCTGGCCTGGAACTCACTATCTAGACCAGGTTGGCCTTGAATTCACAGAAATCTGCCTGCCTCTGCCTCCTGAGTGCTGGGACTAAAAGCACACACCATCACACCCAGCTAAGAATTATTATTTTAAATTTTATTTTCTTTATTATTTTTTATTGTATGTGTATGAGTGTATTGCCTGCATGTGTGTAAGTGCACCCATGTTGGGCAGGTCCCACAGAAGTCAGAAGAGGCTGTTGGATCCCCTGGAACTGGCGTTATAGACGATTGTTAGCTGCCAGGTGAGTCCTGGGAATCGAACCTGGGTCCTCTGCAAGAGCAGTCAGTGCTCTTAACTATTGAGCCATCTCTCCAGCCCAAGAATTATTTCTTAAGTTGACCCCACTAGTATAAATACCACAAATGCATATCTATGTTAAAAATTAGGAAATAGGGGCTGGAGAGATGACTTAGAGATTAAGAGCACTGATTGCTCTTGTAAATTCCCCAGGTTTGGTGTCCAGCACCCACTGGAAGCTAACAACTGTTCCTAACTCCAGTTCCAAGGATCTGATGCCTTCTTCTGGTCTCGTCAGCATTGCATGCACCTATACACTTAGATAAGACAGGCAAAACAGTCATACCCATAAAATAAAAATAAATTAAGTCAAGGTGTGGCATGGTGGTACACACTTTTAATTCTAGCAATCAGAAGGAAAAAGCAGGGAGATCTCTGTGAGATCAAGGCTAACCTGGTCTACGTAGCGAGTTCCAGGCCAGGTGCAGCTACAGGGAGACTGTGTCTCAAAAAATAAAACAACAGCAACAAATTAAAAGAATATAACAGCAATTGGAGAGATGGCTCAGTGGTTAAGAGTACCCCTGCTCTTATAGAGGACCCAAGTTTGGTTCCCATGTCATCTGGCTCACTTCTGCCTTTAACTCCACCTCCAGGAGATCAGTCACCCTCTTTTGGCCTCTGTGGGCACCCCCACCATACATGGCATGCACACACACACACGCACACACACACGCACGCGCGCGCACACACACACACACACACACACACTCACACATGCACACATGCACATGCACACACATACATAAATAAAAATAGAAAGTAAAATGTTTTTAAGAACTTTAAAAAAATCTTTTTAAAAACTGGAAATAATTAAATTTTGCCCTTACAGATTGAATACCTGCTTAAGAAACTTACAGAAGCGATGGGAGGAGGTTGGCAGCAAGAACAATTTGAACATTATAAAATCAACTTTGATGACAGTAAAGATGGCCTTTCTGCATGGGAACTTGTTGAGCTAATTGGAAACGGACAGTTTAGCAAAGGCATGGATCGTCAGACAGTGTCGATGGCCATTAATGAAGTCTTTAATGAGCTTATATTAGATGTGTTGAAGCAGGTAAGAGTGCTAGGGACTGTTTCCTCATCTTCAGAGCTTGGCATGTTTGATGTCAAATTTCCTTCCTTCCCTCCCTCCTTCCCTCCCTCCTTCCTTCCCTCCCTCCCTCCCTCCCTCCCTCCCTGTTGTCTTTGTCTCAGTACTTCTAGAACATGAGGATTTTCCCTTTCTTGCTGCCTTTGTGAAAGAGTGCCCTTCCTCCCTCCCTTCCTTCCTTCCTCCCTCCCCTACTTCCTTCCCTCCCTCCCTTCTTCCCTCCTTTCCTCCCCCCTCCCTTCTTTGCTGTATAGATGGTATAAGTCACTGATACTTCTTAATTGATTTAGAATAAAAACAAAGTTTCATATTCTCCCAGACTTTTATCAGGCTTTCAGATTTCACCCACACCTGCTGACTGTTGGGATTGAACCAGCACACTAGACAAGTGCTCTATGTTTAGCTATGTATATGACCCTAGGTGCTCATTTTAAACAATAACTGGTTATAGGGGCTGGAGAGATGGCTCAGTGGTTAAGAGCACTGGCTGGTCTTGCAGAGGACCCAGGTTTGGTTCTCAGCACCCACATGGTGGCTAACAACTGTCTATAACTTCAGTTCCAGGGGATCTGAATCCATCTTCTGACCTCTGCAGGCATTGCATGATAGGGCTGCGCTTAGACATGCATGCAGGCAATACACTTATAAAATAAAAATAGTAAAAATTTTTTAAAAAGAATTACTGGTATAGTTTTGAAGTACATTTAAGATTTGAGAAGTTACTGAGGCTGGAGAGATGACTGCAGAGGACCCAAGTTTGATTCCTAGTACCCACACTGGGTGACTCACAAAGGTGGGTAACTCCAGCTCCAGGGGAATCTGATGCTTCTGATCTCTGTGGGCACCTGCAAAAATAAAAATAAAACTTAAAAAAATTATTGAGAGGTTACCCATTTTAAACTGTTTTTTAATTTGTGTGTGTGTGCACACACACTCATGCATGCATGTCAAGAGTGCATAGTGCCCAGAGAGTCCAGAAGAGGGTGGCAGATCCCCTGGTGCTGAAGTTACAGGTGGTGGCAAACCAAACTTGGGTCTTGTGGAAGAACAAGTACTCTTAAGTTATCATTTTTGAACAGACTATGCAATCACATTTTCATGTTTTTAAAAATACCCTTGTGTCATATGGAAAATACCCATGGTTCAGTGGAAACCAGAGTGGTGGGCATCTTGCAGTTTCTGTCACAGCATGATGTACATGTGTAGAGATGTCTGGAAGGATGCCCCAACACATCTCTGGAGTGTGTTATTTTAGTGAATTTTATTTTCTTCTGCATCATTTTTCTGTATTATTAGACTTCATAGTTTTATATTGTTTTTATGAAATTAGAAAAATATGCTTACTTTGCAAATACATTTTTATACAACAGTCGCATTTGTCTTATTGAACTTTTTGTTTTCTCAGCACATAACATTACCTTATACACATAGGGGAAACTTAATGCTGCTTAAATTTTTTTTTTTTTTTCTGTCTTTTGAGACAGTCTCCCTGTAGCCCCAACTGTCCTGGTACTCACTATGTAGACCAGGCTGGCCTTGAACTCTCAGAGATCTGCCTACCTCTGCCTCCCAAGTGCTGGGATTAAAGGTATGCGCCACCATGCCCGGCTAGCTTTTGTTTTTTTGAGACAGGGTCTCCCTATAGCCCCTGGAACTCACTATGTAGACCAGACTGGCCTTGAACTCACAGATATCCGCCTGCCTCTGCATCCCCAGTGTTGGGATTAAAGGTGTGCACCTCCACACCCAGCTCATATATATTTTTTAATGAGTTTTTTAAACTTTAAAAAAAAAAACAGAACAAAACATGATCCCACAATTTACCCCTGACCGTCCTGGAACTCACTATGTAGACCAGGCTGGCTTTGAACTAACAGAAATCCACCTACCTCTGCCTCCTGAGTGCTGGAATTAAATGTGTGTACACCACACCTGGCTCTCTTCCAAACATCTTGCACCATTATGAATAATAATTCTGTTTTGTGGTTTCTGTACTTAGCTCTTTTCTTTGTTCAGCAGGTGATTATTGTTTTTGCTCTTTTCTGGAGTCTGGCAATAAACTTTGAGGTTTAATTTGTATAGATTTGGGTACTGTGAAGAAGTGTAGGATGTAGTCTCTATCTGTGTGATTTCGTGTCTCTGCAGCATTATTTTGATACAGATCCAAGATATTTCAGTTTACGTATAAATATTTCAGTAAATGTCTTAAAAGATAAGGAAGGGGAAATATACAATTTATTAATATTAAAGGTTCTGCATTTTGTGCATCATTGAGGGAGGAGTGTTTCCAAAATAGCTGAAATTGCATATAAACTTTTGTATATAATTGTGTGGACTAGACTGGGTTTCATGCTTCTGGCCTCCATAAAATCTCAGAAAGTCTAGTCCATGATCCACAAAGATGAGAAAATTGACAGTTGTGTATTCAGGACCACATATCAGATAATGGTAGGTAAGGCTAGGAAGAACGATCAACTCTTAAAGATAAAAGCAGAAATGTTTATATTTTGTTTAATCTTTCATAGGGTTACATGATGAAGAAAGGCCATAAACGGAAAAACTGGACTGAGCGCTGGTTTGTATTAAAACCCAACATTATTTCTTATTATGTGAGTGAGGATCTGAAAGATAAGAAAGGAGATATCCTCTTGGATGAAAACTGCTGTGTGGAGGTCAGTCTGCTGTTGCTTTAATGCACTTTACCCGATGCTGCCCCCTACTGTTCACAGAATTTCTCCTCTTCCCTCTTCAAGACTGTGTAGCCCTAAAATATCCTAAAATGGATGTTTCCAGAATAATGGAAATACATCGGCACTACGGTTTCTCAGTCAAAAATTAAAAATAGGCAGTTGAATTTACTTTTTGTTTTATACTTGTGAATAAGGTATAAGGATTAATCTAATATATTTGTGGGGCTGGAGAAATGGCTCAGCGGTTAAAAGCACTGACTGCTCTTGCAGAGGACCCAGATTCGATTCCCAGCACCCAAATGGTGGCTACAAACTGTCCCTAACTCCAGTTCCAGGGGAATCCGAAACCCTCTTCTGACCTCCGCAGATTGCACGACATAGATACACTCACATACATGCAGGCAGTATATTCATACACATAAAATAAAAATAATAAATAAAATATTTAAAAAATCTAATATATTTGTGTGTTTAGGGAATCATTTATTTAGTAAAATGGAGTCATAAGGAATAAAGCAAAATATTCAATAAGGTAATGTTTGAAATTATGACTATGCTAAAAGATCTAGCACATTTTGAATACAATAAATATAGAAAATTGAGTATTATATTTTAATACTTTGAGTGATTTTTCAAAAGATATATATTTATTTTTGCTTTATGTGTATATTTTATCTTTGTGTATGGAAGTGCACCAGGTGCATGCCTAGTGCTGTGGAGGTCAGAGGACATCGGGTTCCCTGGAACTGAAGTTACAGATGGTTGTGAGCCACCATGTGGGTGTTGGGGACTCAGCCCAGGTCTTTGTCAAGAACAAAAAAAGTGCTCTTAACTGCTAAGCTATCTCTCCAGGCCCTTTGGGTTTTTTTTTTTGTTGTTGTTGTTGTTTTGTTTTGTTTTCCCTGCCTTGGCTACTTCCAAGTGCTGGGATTATAGGAATTCTCTACCAGTTTTTGTTTGTTTGTTTGTTTGTTTGTTTGCTTGTTTTTTTTGAGACAGGGATGTATTTACTTATTTGAGACAGGATCTCATGTAGTCTTGGTGAATCTGAACTTGCTATGTAGCTGAGGCTGGCCTTGAACTCCTGATCGTCTGCCTATTTCTACATAGTGCTGGGATTGTGCACTTCTGTGCCTGCCTTGAGTGACTTATTTATTGCTACTAATTCTGTAAATAAGTGAGTCCTTGAGAACAGAATTTTTTGGGCAAGGTGGCAGACATATGTAATCCCAGGACTCAGGAGGGTGAGGCAGGATTGCCAAAAGTTCAGGTTCAGGGTGCTTTACTTAGCCAGGGTTACATAGCAAGAGTTGGTCTCAATTTTTTTTTAAAATTTGTATATGAATTATCAGTAGTGTCTGTGTTTGTTGAAGAACATTTAAAATACTTGAGTTCTCACTCAAACTATAGTGCCTTTTGATGAATGAAATTATATAGATACACTTACTTTTTTTTGTTTATTGAAACAAGGTCTCATTCTATAGATCTGACTGTACTAGAACTCACTATATAGACCAGTCCAGCCTCAAATTCACAGAGATCTGCCTGCCTCAGTCTCTTGACTGCTGGGTGCTGGGATTAAAGGCATGTGCCATAATGCCTGGCTTTTTTTTTTTTTCCTTAGGCCTCTTTATGATTATATTTATTTTTCTACCTCTTTTGAGATACGGTCTCCCTGTAGCCCCAGCAGGCCTGGAATTCACAGAGATCCACCTGGCACTACACCAGCTCTACTTCTTTTTTTAATTAATTAATTAAATTTTATGTTACAAGGGTTTTGCCTGTATGTATGTGAGTATACCACATGCATGCAGTGCCCACAGAGGTCAGAAAAGGGTGTCAGATTCCCTTGAACTGGAGTAAGAGATGGTTGTTAGTAGCCATGTAGGCATGTGGGTGCTGGGAACAAAACCCAGGTTCTCTGCAAGAGCAACCAGTGCCCTTAATGCCAGCCCCAAATGGCATAGAAATATTAATGCTTCAGGGTAAACACTGCCAACCAAGGGGTTTGCTTCCACTGAACTAAACGAAGACTAACAAGATTACTGCAAGCCGTACCATTTTACTCATAAGGATGTAGGTCAAGAACCACAGGCCACCTCAGTCACATCCTAGGTGTAAGAAGAAGCCAGAGCAGGCAGAGGTAGAAGTCATCCTGGTTTAAAAGGCTTTGCATGTCATCAGCAAGTGCGTCTTGTAGCAGTTCTGTGGGTGTCCTTGCAGGGTTTTCATAGGGAACATGCTGAAGGGTAAGAGTTGCACTCTGGAGAGCCCAAAGCAGGGGTCCTGTCACCCTTATCAGGTGCTTGTAGTTCTATTGCAGATGTGGTGCACCAGTCAGGGGTCTTTGTGACCGTAGGTGACACTGCCTAGGGCACATTAGTAAATGAGTAACTTGCATTTGTAGGTGTTTTTCACTGACACTGAGTTACAGTAAGATTTGTGTAGATGTTTTAAGAAATGAATTGAGGGGTTGGAGAGATGGCTTAGCAGTCAAGAACACTGGCTTTTCTTGCAAAGGATCCAGGTTCAGTTCCCAGGTCTGTAACTCTAGTTCCAGGGGATCTGACACCTTCTTCTGGCCTCCACAGGCATTGCATGCATGGGTGCACTTAACATGCAAGCAGAGCACTCATACACATAAAATAAAAATAAATACATTAAAAAAAATTAAAGAAATGGATTGAAATACTGAAGAAGAAAAGTTTAATAGGGCATGGTGGTGCATTCTTTTAATCCTAGCAGTTGGGAGGCAGAGGCAGGAGGATCTCTATGAGTTTGAGGCCAGCCTGCTCTACATAGTGTCAGGCTAGCCAGGACTATATAGTGAGAGTCTGT